GAGGGGGGAGGAAGGAAGAAAAAGAAAGAAAGAAAGAAAGAAAGAAAGAACGAAAGAAAGAAAGAAAGAAAAGGACGCAAGCAGTGTCTCTTGATGTCAGCAGACCTTGGACCCATTTCCTAAGAGGTACAAAACCTCCTCACAAGGGCCCTCGGAGAAACAGGCTCTGCTCTCTCCGGGTGGACTGAGGTTCTGCTTCGGAATCCCCGAACTGCCAGCTAACAAACTCCCCTAGCAATACCCTGTTAGTCGTCTTCCTCTTGCAGTACCCCGCAGACCCGGGCAGGAAACGGACTGAACAAGTCGTTTCTAGTGTTTCTAAAATAAGGCCGTAGTCCTCGCGGGGAAAGGTTATTACCTACTTCCTACCGGTGAAGAGACGGAGGCTCCCAGCAGCGCGAATGGTCAAAGCCGGGGCCGCCTGGTGCTGCTCCCGCGGTAACTCGTCGCTCTCAGCACCGCTTCCGCGAGGCCTCACCCTCCCTCGGCAGCTAGCGGTGGTCCGGCATCCACGGAGTCCTCAGAACCGACTCGAGCGCGTTCTTCTGATGTAGAGCCGAAGTCGTTTCCAGCTTCGCCGCCTTCCAAAGCCCGCGCTCCGGTCACGTGACCCGCCCTCCGCGAACAGCCTCCTGGGAAATATAGTGCAGTCTCTGCCACTTCAGACCGCAGCTTTCATAGTGGACCTTATTTCCGGGGAAAACGGATTAAAACAGAGACTCTGCACTACCCCCTCTCACATTCCAACCCCATGTCACTCACATAGGTCTTCAGAGTCCCAGTTACCGTTACACCTGAAACCGCGGGACTACAAGTCCCACAATGCCACGCGCGAGGGACCACATCCTCTTCCTGTTGCTCAACGCGCTTGCTCTTGCCGACGTGTTCTTCCGGTGGTGGACCGGTGGTTTATCGTGTGCGGGGCAAAATGGTGAGATGGTGGGAGTTGCGGACAGGGCTGTGGGCCAGGACTCCTGGGTATCCGGTCCACACCGCGTTCTTCCGCGGAGTCGTCAGCATTCCGTGTCCCCAGGGTGGGTCGCTGCTGGAGCCCATGTTTAGCTGAGGAACGGGGAAAGCAAGCCCCTTGCCGAGAATTTCTCAGACTGAGGTTTCCATCACAATGGGCTTATGATATTGTTGATCATAAGGCTGAGGGGCGTGGGGTGCACGTTGAAAACCTTCGCGCGTTTATTTCTCTTTCCTATGATCAGTTATCGCTATCTGGAAAGTTTCCCTTGCTGAATTCATCCCGCAAGGCCCTTGGATACATGTCATTACCTGGTGAAACACTTGGAACTCTCACAGGCACTTGTCTGTTTTCTGGGCTCTTACAGTCTCTGTACACCTCTTGCCACGTTTCGTGGACCTCTTTTTTATCTGCCACGCCTCCTAGTGACCACCATCTGACGTGCATCTAGTTCTGGGGTGATGTCTATTCTTCTTTGTATTCTTGTTGCCAAACACTGGGCCTGCAATTGGAGGCTCCATAAATGGCAGCAATTGTCTTTGGCTTTTATAGGGGGGAAAGGGGGACATAATTGTTTACTGAATTGAATTCCTGTGTCTCTTAGAACAATGGGTTCAGTTTACTTCTCTGGAGTTGTTATGTTCTGGACTTTAGAGGCATTGGCTGGCAAGTGACAATGGAAGTTAACATTTGTACAGAACTTTGCATTTATAGTCCTTTCACAGGCATTATCTCATAATCTTCTCTACAACCTTAGGAAGGAAACAAATACCTATTGAGCAGTTACTCCATGGCAGGCAGTCAACTAGATGTGTCAACATTTATCATCTTTCTCCAATCCTGCATCAGACCTGTGAAACCAATACTTGTTATAACTACGTAACTCAAACTCCAGTGATTCAGTAAAGCCAGAATTATCACAGTTGTCTTCTGCCAGGAGATCCCTGTGGTTCCCTCCTAAGAATGCTCTTGAATTAGAACTTGAGGTCTTCGTATTAGTCTAGGCTTCAGCTTCCTGCACAAATTAGTGGTTTAGAGTCTGGACACAGGTCCAAAAGCAATGGAAATTGTGGACAAGCTTTTTCTTTGTTTTTTCTCCAGACAGATCCATGATTGTCTTAGTGATCACTGGCTAGAAAATCCTAGGAGCCATTTATCTCTATCCCTTCCTATGCCTGAGCCTCTGACTCAGCTGCTCTTATCGTACCAAAAGAAAAGCTGCTGCCTCCATACTTTTTTGTTGTTTTTTTGTTTTGTTTTGTTTT